TATACATGATATATATATATATATGTATATATATATATATTCATGCGGATACATACGGGGGTAGGCCGCTAGGAGTTCCAGCACTGAGCGTTTGTGTCATTTCCATGCCCATGTTGTCATCGTGCCATCACGGAGGGAGGGGTGAGGGGGATGATAACGTTCGGAGTCACGCGTGCGAGCGTGCACGGACATAGACGTGCGCGCTTGCCATCTCGCCTGCGCCTCAAGAGTTCTTGCAGGCACAAGGTTCCGAAGGCTCTGCAGGCTTCTGACTTTTGTAAAGAGACAGGGCTGAGCTGCAGCTTTTCTCCTCTATCAGCGTTTACTCATCTCCTGAGAGACGAGAAAAAGAGCCCAGATTAGCGAGCATGTCTTAGCCACGCATAGAGGCCAAGATTGTCCAATCTGCATGCAAGGATCCGCATAGGGTAGTGGAGCTGCAACTGATGACCGATCGAAAACGAGTGATGGCGGAATCCGAAAATAGCTTCGGTTTTCTGCTGGCTTCAAAATTACCAAAAGGGGGGGGTTCCCCCAAAAAAGAGACCAGACCCAAAAGTCGTGCTGGTTTTGCAGCCTTCCTTTGGTGCTTAGGGCCCCCGCTGGGGCACCTGGGCCTGGCAAAAATGTGCTGCAATGGGCGCCATATATGGGTCCGACCCGCCTTTGGAGTTGAAAAAAGAAACGCAAAGCCCAGCTTTTGGAGGAGTCCAACCACAAAAAAGAGACAAGCCCGTACACCCTGCCAACATTGCGGGGTTCCAGAAGACGTTGCTCTCAAAGAGACCCCATGGCAACATGGACGGGAGGAGTCTAGATGATTCCATGGCACAATTCCATCATGATACCGCATAAGCCCCAACATCAACGCACAACAACAAGATGCACTGCGTTGCCTTGAAAATCATGTCGCACCCTTGTGTTCGAACATGGGGAAAAGTTGCCTTTTTCCCATCTCAAGATGACGGTGCTGGGCTGTTTCCTTTTGCAGAAGTACAAAACAAATTTATGCGTCTGCTGCATTCGAGAAAGCTGCTTGAGGAAACACCGCGTCCAAACCCGGGGAACCGGGAAGGCGGGAAACGAGGCGTTTTTCTCAGGAAACCAAAGGGGGAAGAAAGCGACCACGCAGGGCTCTCGAAGTTGTGGAGTCGAACAAAAGGCGCGCGAATTCGACTGCGAATGCCTGGCATCCGTTTTTCGCCCAGGCCAACAGCAGATATGGACTGCTAGTTGCCGAATCCCCGAGCTGAAAGCTGAATCAAACGGGATTCCAGTTGAGTAGTCAACTGGTTGATCAATAGCGG